AAAAAAAAAAAAACTTTCTTTCAAATTATAAGCCAGTATTTTACCTCCACTTTGCAAATGCTCTTTTCACATCCAGTTCACCAGACAAAGGATCTACTAGCGGATGGAAGACAGGCAGATCAAAAACCAAGCGCTGCATTAGAAAAGAGAAATTCAATTTTACAAGCACTTTTTTTCTTTGATAAGACAGATGTTGTTTTCAAACACTAGTTAGCTAGTACTGTCCATAGAGAAAACAACTTGAAATTGTTTATACTGACTGTGAAACTGTAATCCAAGACACTCTCATTACAGGCAGGGTCTTGCCCTCTCTCACAGGCTTATCAGCACATCAAGGAACTAATCCAGCTCACTGCACAAGCACTGCAGCCAACACAGGCAATAACATCAGATAACATCAGCTAAAACCAGAACTACTTCTTTAGCTCTCTGTGACTCAAAGTCTTTTACCTACCTGAGTGGGAATCAATATACGTATTTTTAATCCTACACATTTTTAAGTCTCCTGCACAGTGACACCAAAGTGCCTCATACACTTTATAGTTTGTTTCCTTGGCATTTATGCATTTCTCCAACAGAAGCTTAGTAGCAACCCTGCCCTGGCAAAATAATGCCGGGTGTATCCATCCACTGAGGACACCTTTTTAAAGACAATAGCTTGACACAAAACCTAACAGAGAGCTTCCTGACATAGCAGCCAGCTCAGCTCCAGCAGTTACCCACACACTTCTCCTTTTAAAGAGATTTGGCCAAGAGGGCTGGACGCCAAAGAGTCAGGCTGACAGAAGGAATTATTTTTTAAAGGACTACACTTGCTAGGATACTTTTCCCACAAAGAAACCCCAAATGGAAGATAATTCTCTACTATCCACCTCTCTTTTTCCCCATCACCAGACTTCTCAAGTTCTCTTAGTGTATTTTAGAAGAGACACAAGCAATAAATTTTGCAGTACTGTGGTAAGTGCTAAACAGGTTCTTGTATTTTATTTTCTACTACATTGCTACTCAAGTTTAACCTCCTACAAGAGGTATCCAAACCCAACTTTCTTGCCAAGACAATAACAGCTTAAGTGTTAGGGTAAAGGACTGATTGATTTGATAGCCTAAAGCATCTAACTTCACAAAATTCCCTCTACACTGAGGGCACCACTCACCGGGCAGTCTCCATCTGGATAATTATCAGGAATATAGACAGTAAACTTAAACACACCATCCTGGTAGAGCCCATGCCTTATGAAGATTACTCCAAACCACACTGCAAATGAGAAAGCTTGCTTGAGTGGAAAAATCTACTTATTTGTTTATTAATTTGTCGAGTTGAATTGAAACTTACTTATTGCTGATTGGTAAGACGGCTGCACATAGACACCCGGCAACTTCTGCTTTACAACCAGGGTACTGCAATTAGGAACAGCATTTAGAACAGCTCCACAACCACCTTAAAAAGACAGCAAGCTAACGAGAGCAAAGCCAGGACTTACTGCCAGCAGTTTAACAGTGGATTTCTTCCACAAGCTTCCACTCAATTCCCAAGGGTGATCGCTCTCAAAAGGAGAGGCAGGGAACTAGGGAAAAATTGGTCTTTCTCCCTGCTTTTTCTACCCTTCCCTTTAAAGGGCTACAAATAAGACACATTGCTTCCTAAAAAAAGGGTAAACCAGAAATGTAGTAGATCTATTGAACACATGGCATCACTGCTGGGTTTTTATTTTTCTACTAAAATCCCAAACTTAAAGTAAAGGAGAAAAAAACATTAAGTTATTCTAACTTAAATTTAACTGCAAATATGACAGAGTTATCACCGCTTCCCATTATGTCTGAGATTTGACCAAGACTTCATCAGTTGTAATAAGATTATGAGGTGAGTTAAACAGGAATCATAAATGGTAAATGGCAGAACAGAATAGCAGAAAATAGCACTGGAATATCAAATCATGATCTTCAGTCACTAACAACCAGTGCATTATAGCCCATTTTCCCCACCTTTTCCCCCCTTTCCCTTAACCCGTAACTTTCTGGAAGCTCCAGTTGATATCAGAGAGCATCAGAGGGATAAAGTGTGTTCTTACTATTTTTCAAATTAAGAAGTACACAAAGTTCCTAATCAATTTAAAACTTAATTCAAATAAGAAGTTTGTGTCAGTTTTCTAAACAAGAATTCATTTTTCTAAGCTAGAACTCTCACTTTCAACTTAATGGTTAAATGCAAGACTTTATATTTCATCAGGACTCCAGGGAATTGCATTCCAAAAGGCTCTGCATAGTTCAAAATTCCATCCATCTATTATGAAGGAAGTCTCCTCAGCTTTGCAGCACAAAACACGAGTTATATAACTAGGAAGTCTGGCAGACAAAGAGATTAACCTGCTCCCACAGTAGTCTACAAATTGCTAACAGATCTATTTATTTGATCCAAAGAAAACTCTTTTAATGTGCTAACTACTCATAAAGTTCATGTTAATCATCATTTGAAAGTCAGGAAAGCAGACAGTCTCCCTAATATTCATTTTATAGGCCACAACAGGTGCTGATCAAGTGTTTTGTGTAACCACTGAAAGAAGCTCCCACATGCTGGTGACATTCGACAGGACCCTATAGTCATAACTGCTTTCCTACCAGACATCTGCTTGCTTCTATTTTAATACTTGTTTGCAAAACTGGATATTTCTAAACAAAACAAAAAACAAAAAACCAACAACAACAAA